GTTTCGGCAAACAATATATGCGAACAACGATTGTTGGACAACAGCGGACAACCGCACAGAACACCCGATTTCCCTAGCGAGCAGCTAGTTGTATTTTTTTCTTTACATTTTTCCCCTCCTTTCTCATTTTCCGCTCGTATAAAACCCCTGGCGAAAGGCAATCTTTCATTTTACTCGCACGGCGGGTCAGCCCTGTAGGGTTTTTTGTTGCTTTATCGGACTCGCGCGCGTCTGCGCGGGTTCTATTCCTAATGAAGGTCGTAGGTATACCCGAAAATGGCTTCAACATATACTACGTGCTCTCCACCCCCCCCCTCCTTCCACACACACATAAACAGTCCGCGAAACCCTTAAAATATATATATATACATGTGTACACACATAATACACGTGCGCGATGTATCGGCCCGACCTCGTTTTACATTTAAATTGAATCGCACCTGATTCAGCTACGCTGCTGCTGCTTTTGCACACATGCTAGGGCCGACCACTCGTCGTCGTTGTCATTGTGCGAACGCGATTCGGAAATTATCCGAACGTAGGCGTCGATCGTAGGAACAACAGGGAATAAGTTTACGTTCATTTCAATTTCGTGTACGTGGGATAGGTCACGGCGATTCGCGTTTGTTAGATGGAACAATGGAGGAGGGTGGAAGAGACGCAAGGCGTTGCAAGGAAATAATAATAAGAATTAGATGAAGAAGAAAAGAAAAGAAAAAACCTTTTCATTCGACACAGAAATCCGTGTTTTGAATTCCGATCGCTCCAACTGCAGCGTAAACGCGTCGCCACTACTATTATCGTTAACATCATAATTTCCATTAACTATTGGCGTGAATGTATACCTGTTAATATTTGGATCGCGTTTCAGTGTATACCTACATCATATTGTTGTGCCCTAGTTTACGATTTTATTTATACACAACGTTTGATGACGATGTAGTGTAAATCCAAATCGGTGTACATAAATTGAATATAATATAATATTATGTATTATATAGCACTTCTTATATATATTTATATACTTATTTATATTTACTGACCGACTCTTTAAATAGATAATTTTTATAAACTGTGAGATATTGAACATACTAAATATTCCTTATTCATTATTATAAAAACTATTATTTTAACGAATTCAACGTTTTTCAATTATTTTTTCGTTTTGCTACATGTCAAGAGAATAAATCGAAAAATAACATTCTTAAAATACTTTCTGTGTTCAATTTACAATCTCAAGAGTTGTTACATAAAACTATTGGTATATGTTAACACTCAAAAAATAAACTTCCTTTTTTTAATGGTGAATAGAATAAATGTCTATTAGAATCAACATACTCTTATTCTCGTCACTTGGTTTAAAATCTGAAGTATTAATTAATAAGAAAAATATTACAAATTCATAAATTGTATTGTATTTCTATACACAAACTTATTTTGTCACATATTCATTCACTATTTTATTTATATATTTATTTGTTTTATCGAATTTCTGCTGTACTATAAATTGGTAATATTACAATGTTAAGTACAGCTTAAGTTTTTATATTTTAATTGAACATAACTTAAATGCTTATTTGATTTATGTTATCATTGTTAATCAAACACGAAAACAACAGTATAAGCTAAAAAGTTACTGGATATGGCAAAAACGTAATCAAATATTAATTGAGGCTTAACACAAATGTCATTATTTACAAATTATATAAATTCGTAAAACGATATGAGGTTCGATTATATCAGTTTTTATTTATTTAATTATTTATTAGCTGAATCACCCATCGTTAGTATTGTTGTTATCTGATAACATTAATTATTGTCTATTTAAATAAAATTGAAATAAGATTATTCCAAAAATATTTCATATTAATTAGTTAATGAAATTATGGATTAATTGGATTGGGAACACTTGTTTATATGTATAGAATTTTTTTTTTTTTTGCTCGCATTCATTTCATTATTGTACTTCCTTATTTAGAAAAATACGCATGAGTGTACACATATTGCCTAGACTAAACGCCGTACGTTTCTATATGTTTCGTTAAATGTACATTATTTATACTGCGACCATACATTTCAATATTACTTAAATATATATACTTTCAAAACCTTTACTGCGGTCACCAGATAAATTCACGTATAGAAGTCAGTAGTGGTTATACATGATGTTCAAGAGAAGGGGGGAAATAATGCCAACCCTCCCCCACTCCATAACATTTTTGTACGAGTATAATATATAATATACATACGGGCATAGGCGTAAACTGGTGGATGAGAGGTGGCAACTTCCCTCTCCAATAATTTAATAAGGCAATACCCACTTAATATTTTGTAAATTAGAAAAAATATTATAGAAAAGACATTTTAGATTTTTAAGAATTATTTTATTAATAAACATAAATGATTACTAATAAATAACTAAATAACTATTAACTATAAAAAAAATATAAATGGAATAATCAAAATGTTTTTGTTCAATCAAAATACACGGTGATGATGATGCTGATGAGGTATATCTAGTCCTAAAATATACAGTATATCAACATAAAAATAATAGTTTAAAAGTAAAATAAAGTCCCCCCCCGCGTAAAAATTGCTCAAATTACGCCTATGTATACGAATTATAGGAACATGTCTAGTATTGTGTATATATATATATTAATATAATTTAAACGCTAACATAAATGTATTGACTTGTACAATTTTTTATAATAATAATAATAATTATATCGCTCATGCATGACCTATTCATAAATTATAGTAATATACAAATATATATAAATATACAATATGATAATATATTATCCGTGGCTCAATCGAAAAATATCTTGTTATCAAATCATAAGTTCGAACATTTACAGATATGAGTTATGGGGCCAGCGATATATTAAATTTAAAAAAAAAACAAATTCCAAAAAAGGGCAATCCACCTACCCCCCATTATAACTGCCACTAAATAACCCTCTTCCACATTTATTTGGTCGTTTTGCGTATAACGAATATAAGAAGATGATATAACCTCTTATAAGTAAAACCACATCTGAGAAATAATTTATTTATTATTATTTTTTATATATTTTCGTTGATGAATATCTGCTTGATATTTGTCGTCCGTTCACATGCCTAAAAAACGCGTCTATTGTCTAGATATTATGGCATATAATAAATATCGAAATACGTTATTTTACAGAATATTTTTTTCATTTTTCATTAAAAGCTTTTTCATTACATACCAAGTATTAATAAACTAACATCAATTATCTATACATTTAAACTGAGCTTGTAGTGATGTAGTTAATTATAATACACATAAAATTATATTATTTTACATATAATAAATAATAAATTTAGATATATTAATTTATATTTATATTTATATAGTAAGTATTTTGATGTTAGTATTATTAAGAGTTTTTTTTTTTTTTTTAATAAAGAGTTAAAATTAACAGAACCGAGATAATTAATACATTTTTGAAAAAAAAATTGTTATAGTGTAATTCACATTACTATCAAAAAATCTATCTTTACTCATAGACTTATCATTTTGTTTAGTAAAGAAAAATGTTGATATTTCATTTTTTTATACACACATTATAGTGTGTTTTTTTTAATAGCAATTCAAGTGAAAGAATATTAAATTCCTTATAATTTGAGTAGGTGGACTATGAGATTTTCCTTCCTTAAACATAAACGAGTTATATTATATTGTTGTTCTCTAAAGGGATTAAAAACATTGTGGAATCAATTGTGTTCGTACTTTTTTTTTTTTTTAATTCTTACGAGAAACTTTGTATCCTACAGTGAAAACATTACATATCAGCTATGACTACACGTGTTTAGTTCATGTATTATTTTTTATTAATACCAATATCAAATAAATTCATATGCGTTGAACCAATTCTCCTTTATCTTACTATACATATTATTTTGTTGTAAGCTGAATATTGGCAGCTCTGTTTGAATGAATCCTCTTTGTACATATTTAACTATATCTGAATTGCGCGCTAAATAATAAAATATTATTGAAAGAGAAGCGAATTTTATTTTTTATTATGTGACCCAATTTTAATTTTCACACAACGCTTTGTATATTGTGGGTTAAGTGACCGAGTAAGCAACGCACATCTATCGAGTATCCCTTGCAAAAATGCATCTACTTATTACAATATTCAAGTAATGTTCAATGTCATATTCTGCATTTATATACATACAGTATATGTTGGGGAACAAAAAAAAAATCGAGTTTCAACTTAATTAAAAAAACCAACTTTCTCGCTTCAAGTTTATCGCATTTTTTACATCGTCGTTACTCGCTATAGATGGCGGGTCGTTCAATCGAAAAATAATTTCTCGTTTAAGTTATTTAAAAAAGTATTGACAACCGTCATTAATTAATTAATTTTTGAATAACAAATTTTGATGAATTTCTTCAAAATGTTTCACCAAATGTTGTTCTGAAATGAACGTTAAAAATCAAACTATAAAACTTAATTAAATTACACATGGAAAGGAATCAAGATTATTTATTTTTTTTATCCAATTATTTAATAATCTGATCTCTTTAATTTTTTGTAATAACTATTATCAAGATGAGATAAATAACCATATTCTACACGGTGGAATGGTTATTTTAAGTATCAATATTTAAAACAAAAACAGATCCTTACATGTTTGGTATGCGCACTTAATTTGTACTATTCTTATTTGTATACTTGCTCAGTAGATTCATTTAACTTTAATTTTTTGAAAACCAAATAAGAAAATGTTTACTTTGGTGTAAATCGAATGAGTAAATCTCGACCAATTGAAACGCTATATTTTTCTTGGTATATTTGTTTTAGGATATTTGACAACTATTTTGAATTCATGTACATCAAAATGATAAGTGCAATACCTTACAGTTTACTGCTGTTACATTTCATCTTAAGGATTTAAAGTTTAAATCTTTTATTTGAGTACGATTATTTGGTCAATAATACGTATATTTTTATTTATTTCAGCGTTTTGCCTGAGGCTCACGGAATTAAGAATCGAAGAACACACACTAGTGGGAAACAGTACACGGTTAGAATGTAAGTACGACCTACAGGGTGAGAAATTGTACACAGTGAAATGGTATAAAGATGGAAACGAATTTTACCGATTCCTGCCCGGGGAATCGCCTGAAGTACAAGTGTTCGAAGTGACGGGAGTGCACGTTGATGTAAGTACCGCAATATATTAATGCAATTTCGTATTTTATTTTTTAAATATTTACTGAGCGTTTCAAAATCTTTTATAGTATTCTCGTATCTTGTTTTGAATAAGTTGTGTACATGTTAACGTATATGTTAATTTTTACTATATAAAGTGAAATACATCAATACGTATGAAACCATCACTCGTTATATTACGTGTTTCAACTGACACACGGTCGTACCGTGTCCATAAAAAACAGAGTACGATTTTTTAACTATATAAAATTTATCCTAATGTTCGATATAAATTATTTATACGCAATATATCGTAATGCCTGGGGCAGTTGTTAGAATATATTAGACAAAAGTTGGTTTCGAAATTGTTTTATCTTTCGCAAAAAAAAAAAAATAAATAAATCCATATTCAGGTTACACAACACAATTATGTACGTTTAGAACCCAAATCATTTAAATTTTCTTCAAGAATATTTTAATTCAACTTTCGGTATTTTCGTATAGCTGGTATAAAACTTTTCCCCGAGTTGCCTTAATGCCTGTCGGCATGGGCATCGGTCTCTAATGTCGCACGTAATAGATTCGAATTTTGAAATACCGACTGCCACCAATCTCTAAAACCAAAAACCCAATAGTTCTTCAACTAACCATAACAAATTTGTATTCAATAATTACTCTACGAAGTACAATAATGTCGTTGGCTGCTGGTACGTTAGTAATAGCCGGTCAGCAAAAAATATAACTTCTGCTGGCCGTGAATAATGATACTTATTATTTGTCCCTAACATTTATAATACAAATATAATATATTGAATAATATTGGTATTCAACTATTAAACATTGCAATCAATTGTTATGTGTAGACTTTAAAAACGACATGGTATAGTAATATAATTAAAAAAGTAGTGAGTAATACACATAACATCATAAGTATGTGATAAATGTATCCTTAGTCAAGTAAACCTAACCTTTAATTAAAACTATTATTGAATTCAAACCTTAACATTTCATGAATAAAATAAAAACATAATTAGAATATAAATATGCAACGATGAAAAACAACGTAATTATTACATAATTATTCCTTCAAAATACAGGTTTAGAATTTGTTTACTCTTTTATTTGAATTTTTTCTATTATTTCACTCATTGTAATTATAAATCTTTTCTTAAATTAGAAATTTACCTATTTATATTTTTATTTTTATGATTACTGAATTAATCTCGTAGTGCATATTGAGTAATTGTATTTTATTTTTATTATTTTTTTAAATTATTTTATTTAAAAAAAAAACCAAAATCTGTGTATTCAACTATAACAATTGTATTATATTTTAATCTCTGTATAGAAATACTTATTATCCAAAACAAAAACCAAAAATTAATAAGAATTTCAGCCTATCAAAATTACTTTTTATTTCTCCATAGAAGATGATAATTTTGTTCTTTATTAACTTTCAATATGTGGATTTTTACTGTTAGCTAAAATAATTAAAATGGTCAAATTTTTTACCTTCTATTTATAATTAAAAAAATTATAAATAACATATTTATTTGTATTTAGTTTGTACATCGGTAAAAATAATTGATTCTTACTTTTAAAAGTTAATAAAAGTTAATATCAATTAATAGAATTATGTTGTTTGTGCCTGTTAAGATTACATCGCGTATGATCGAATTTTACTTAAAAGTGTTGCAATATGGTACATATTATTCAAAAATTATAAATGTTGACTATAATTAATTTAACATTCATAAGGTAAAATAAATGTTTAATACAATTACATCATAACAAATCTGTATACTTTTAATATTGAATAAAACAAAAGAACTAACGTTTATATACGCATAATAGACCTTACCCTTCATTCTGTAAATTCACCACTGCAACAAATGAGTTTCTAGAATTATTAAAAAAAAAATTATTATTTTGTATTTTACCTTTGAAAAATACTTATAGATAAAGAAGTTAAAAAGTCGCAAATATTTTTATCAATAATAACCCATATTGTATTGTAATTTAAATAAATAATTTTTTCGATTAACAAAATAAATCAGTCAAAATGTCGAATAACTTCAATATATAAAAATTCTTGAATTTATTAAGATCCACTTTCTTTGATGCAATGATTCATAATAATATGATACCGAGTTGAACGCACAAGGCCCTGACTAATATTCACGAAACAATATTCTTATTCGTAACCACATTTTATTTTTTTAATAATAATTTTAAAAGCTGACATAAAAAATTGTAAGTATCAATCATGAAAAGTGCTTTTTTTTTTCGTGTGTCATATAATTTAAAAGTGTTCATATTATATAAGTATATGTTCAAGAGAAAAGCAATACATTTCTCAATTACTCTCAGTGTTTTCTTACATCTTAAAAAAATAATGTGAATTCCATGTTTATGGGTTATCTCTCAGCAGAATAATGAACATTATACCGCAGTAGCTTGCTGCCATCGCGTATGTAATAATTGATAATATTGCTCGAAATCGTGTTGTCCGTGCGCATTTTTCAATGACACTTTTCCATTATTCACGGATGGGTAGTGTAGTTGTTTTAATGCGTCCGTTCACGAACGGTTAGATGATCCTTACGACTCAAGACGTCATTAATACTCAGAAATAACAAATAGCTTTCGTTATAATAAATAATTTCGTGTCATGGTGGTTGAACCGTGGAGCTATGTTTCTTAAACTGATCGAACTCGCAAACGATGATCGCAATACGCCCACGTGCGAACATAGTATTTTATCGTCGTCAGTGAAAAAAACCAAAACAAAAAAGTATCATTATCATGGCAGTGACGTTTTAACGCGATCAGGTCAGTACATATATTATATTGGCTTCAAATTGGGTTCAATTCGATATAATTCACAGTGCAGTAGCTACGCTTCATTACAACTTTTAATAAAATATTAAAAAATGTTGCGTCCTACGCGGTTGTAATGGTATATATTATTAATCAATAGTTTTTAGTTATCACTAAAATTGACAAAACTTTTCTGGTATTGTAATTCTTAAAACTACACAATAACACAACGAGCGCTGTTTCGATTAGTTTCTGACACATTCAGCCATGTATCCATTTTAATACAGATGTATTATCTTTAATATAACTAATTCATGAACGCAATTGATTTCACATTTTAATTATAATGGGTTTTAAAATAAAACATATTGTGTTAATTTTTTTTTAAAATATTTAATTTTTAGTTGGTTAAGTGAATGTGGTAAATTTTGTGGAAAAAAAAAAGTAGATTAATGTTAGTAATCCAATATTTTTTATCTTTTAACTATTACACAAAACACCATTGACATTAGTGTCAGATCAAGGGGTCTTTAAAAAATTAGTATCAAATAAAAAAATTAAAAAAAATAATTTAAAACTTTAATAATGTGCACATATAAAAATCCCTTGAGTACCTTCTATGTACTTTAAAGTAGAAAAGAAAACCATGAAATTACTATGAATGTTATGGAAAATTTAATTTAAATCTTGCTTTTCTAAATAATTACTATAGCAATGTAAAGTTCAAAATTTTTAAAAAAATATGTTGTTGTGTTTTTTTTTTTTTTTAATATTTTTTATAATATTCCTACTATGTATTTTTAGTACACTGGAGTATATTGATATGCTTAGAGCTTTATGTGAAAGTGGTAGGAACACATTGAGAACTTATCGGTTATACCTAGAAAAGTTCCCTGAAAGGAATCAATTATCACAATTAACATACTCTAATGTTAAACATATATCATACCAATAAAATATAATTTAAAAATTATTAATATTTAATATTATTCTATTAAAAAAAAAAAAAAAACAACATATAGTTCAAAATTATATCTTTTTAATATTAATATACAATTATTATTTTCTTTTTTTACTATTGTTTGCTTGAGTATAACTAAATTTAAGGAATAAATATAATACATTTTGGCAAATAATCATACATTATAACGAATGATAGGTTATTTAATAACGTTCTAATAATAACATGCATATTTTTAGTTTGAAGTTAAAATGAAACTAGAATTTTTGACAAAAACGTTTAAAAATATACAAACATAAGAGCTATTAGAACAGTGCATTATATTACACTTATTATGTGATTAAATTTGCATATACAAAACACATTGGAAACGATTGTACTCTAATTCTACCGTTAGACACATTTATTCCAACTGTATCGTAACATTCACTGCCATCCCATAATTTTAGCGGTCTACCGAGATTTTCTCCTTTTAATGTGCTTGAATTTTTTGAATTATAGTTTCCATATTAGGTTTTATATTAAATGCTATAAAGTATTAAATTCGTGATTAAAATTGCTAAATACACGAGAGTTTAAATATAACCAAATATTAAATGAAAATTATATTTAAATCGGTAACCACAATCGCTTATAATTAATAATTAATCGTGAAATTAAGATTATAACACACGCTATTTTATTCGATTTTTTATTGTACATTCATAATAATCATATTGATATTTAAAATAATACATTTTTATTTGAATAACCAATTTGTTTATTAATTTTGAGAACCACCAAACAATATTTCGCGATCCTTAGGTTGAAAACCACGGCTTTACACGATTATAATCAAAGGAAACCAACATATGTTAAAATTTACAATTTAAAACTTGTTGCAATTATAAATATTAAAATATTAAACTAAATATTTATTATATGCCAATCGAATAATAAATTACCTTCTCATCTACCTACTTCAATAATGATAATATTAATAGCATGTTATATTTATGTTTGGATTAAATTTCAAAGAACAGAATATTTTAAATCACGTACTTGATTTCATGGAAAAATTAATCGTAATCATCTATTTTATCTTGATAGAACATACAATAATTGTACAGTTATTTTAATTATTAAATTTACATTTTAAAAACTTTAAAAATTTATAATAAATCAATGGTTAAACTTTAACAAGTTATTTTAACACAATTCTTTTTCTAAAACTCCGATTTACAAAATGGC